GTGATTTCAAATCCGAAATCCGTTTTATAAAATTCAAAGTATTTAGAGATCTTCGAACGATTTAAAATAAGACAGTTTAACCGTAAGACTTACCATTCGATTAACGTTTTTTTTTCGGTAGTAAATATTTTTTGAAAAATAATTTGTTGATTAAGATTATTATATGATAATTAATTATAGGTGAAGAAAATCTCGAGGTTATTGAACCCGGGATCGAGGATTAGAGCGAATCTTTCAGAGTTCATCGTTTAGACCAAGGTGAGGGAACTCGACAACCCACGGACACATTTTTATTAGACAGTCTCTCGCAAGAATTCAAAAACTCTCATGGCTTCGTTACACCACGTTGCTCAAGGAACGCCATAACACTCCGACCTCGATAACCTTCCTTATTCTTCTCCGTCGTCTTCACTCTGCAACTCCTCGCTGCTTCACCCAACTCATGATTTCTCTTTAGGACAACCATTGACGCGGTTTCAGATTTATCTGTTCGAAATGGATATGCTTCAGTTTTGTTTTGTTTTTCTGTTTCCTTGATCTTTCTGTTCATGTAGAGCTTTTGTTCGTTGCTTAGTTCCGATGGGTTGTTTCTTCTTGCCCTAAAATCCGCCGTCGAGATCGATCTGTCCCGCGTGATGAGCTCCTGGTGGGATTCCAACCCGCCTCCGTGCCATTGGACCGGAATCGTCTGTACCCGTGGCCGAGTCTCCTCGCTCGTTCTCGCCGGAAAATCATTGTTGGGATACATTCCGTCCGAACTCTGTCTCCTCGACGATACCAATCTCCGGCTCATCGATCTCTATCAACATTCGCTCTCCGCCTCGATCCCACCGAAAATTCGGACCGTGAAGAATCTCACTCACCTCGATTTCTCTTCCAATCAACTCAAAGGAACTCTGCCCGGGTCTTTAACCGATCTCAAAAGCCTTGTCGGAACCCTTAATCTGTCTTACAACCGTTTCTCCGGTGAGAGATCGTCGTCGTATAGTCAGTTCTCGCGGGTTACGTCAGCTTGGATATCGGACACATCAATCTCACCGGAAAAGTACCGTAGGTGGGATCTCTGTTGAACCAGGGCCAACTGCATTCGCCGAAAACCCTAACCTCTGCGGATTTCCGCTGCAAACGCCGAGCACAGAACATGCTGAAAACCATAGGATCGTCTGTGAATTTTTTTTGTTGTGTTGCATTTGTAGGAGAAACAAATTATAGAAGATGGTGAGACGTTCCAAATATCAAGAATAAAATAACAGTCAATAAATGTTGAAATAACATTCAATAAATGTAATCGAAACGTATCATGATCAGTTTTTTCTTTTAATTTTTTATCCCACTAAATATTAACCACATGAAATTAAATATAATAAAAATTATATTAACTAAACATATCAACCCGTAATTGGTTTCAAAGCGTCTGTTACATATTTTGTAATAAAAATAAATAAATTTTGAAACTTTGTACGATAGAAAATATCAAAATTTTTGAAGCAAATAAATTTTAGATATAATATAATATAAAAAACTAATGACAAATTCATCAAAGATTTTTATGTAATGTTGTATTTCGTTCTTTTTATTAAGGATAAATTATCAAGATAACAAATAAATTCTAAATATAATATATAAAACTAATGATAAATTACTTTTAAATTTTTATGTAATGTTTTATTTTGTTATTTTTATTACTATAAAATCATAAAGATAAAAAGGAATTTAAAATATAACATGATTAAATAAAAATTGCAATGATGTATATAATAAAGATGACTTTATTATGAGATATTTTATTGAATATTGATATAACTAATGAATATTTTTATCTAACCAATCAAAATCTAAAAAACATCCATGTAGGATGATGAAGTGTCGTCACCACAATCCTTTAAACATCTTTATTAATATATATAGATAGATTTAGTTATAAACACCATTTTTATAAGAAATTTGTATATAAATTTTATATTTAAATATTTATAATCTATTAATATTTGAGATGTTAAAATTTTCAATTTAATTTTTTAATAAAAAATATAGTAATTAAAATATTGTATAGCGTATAAGTTATATATAAATTAATTATATAAGAGATGTTATATATATAGTTTGAAAGTAAAATAAAAAATATGATTTATTTTGTTTAAAATTAAAAGTTATTGAATTTTAAAATAAATCTAAAATCTAATATTTTTTTTATTAAGTTAGATATTTGATTTAAAAAACACAATAATTTTTATATATTTTTTTAGAATCTAAAAACCAAAAAAATTAATAATCAAGATTTTGTAAATTTATATTTTTAAATTTAGAAAACTATTTTAGTGAAAAAATCAACTAAAAACTAAAAATTTTATTTTTTTGATTTACAAATACATTTTATGAAAATATTATAAATATGTAAGAGTATGTTTATATTAAAACTAATAGAGTATATATACTCATTTAAAAAAATATATATTCCAAATTCAAATTTGGATTCACGGGTGTTTATAAATTCAATTTCAAAATCAAATTTCAAAATCAAACTTGAGGTTTAGATTTGGAACGAGCCAGAAGTTTTACATCCTATTTCACTGACTAAATTTATCTAGATTGTTAATAATGTATTGATATTTTCTTTATTTCCTTTTCTATTTTTTACATTCCACAACTTTTCATAAATTGTTACCAATTTATTTCCATGAGAAACCGAAGTGAAAAAAAAATGTGAACGATCATAACAATCAGAGACCAATATCATTCAAGACACTACAGCTCTTATAAAATCATCACAAAATAATAATAACAACAATAACAGCAAACCATATATTATCATTAGTGCATATAAAATACTGATAATAACATTCAAGATTCATTAATTAATAAAGCGACAATTCTTTCTGATTTCACCATAAGATCCCGTAAGGGGTGAAATGTTTCCCATATTGATCATGGAGTTGGCGAATTGCTGGAAGAAGAAGCTTTCGTCTTCTGCATAAGCCTTCACCAGTTGGCCGGTCTTGCCATTGTTTCCGGTGAGAAGCTCTTCGTCCGACATCAAAAGGCCTTTGCCCCATAGGATAAGCTTGAAGTATGTGTTGTCGAATCTTGCCGGAGAGGCGAAATCTAAGGGAGAGATGTTGTTATCGCCTCCGGTTTGAGGACAGATCGATTTCAGACCGTAGTAATACGATCTGTCTAAGGTTTCGTCCGGTTGGTTGTTTCCGTTTTGGTTGTAGAGACGTTGTTTGAACGTTGTGCATCTCGCTACCCCGATTGTATGTCCTCCTGCAAAATACAGAGTCCATTTTCCCCGAGAAATGATCAAAGAGTTTCATCGTTTAACGAAAGATTGGGTGAAAACGTCGAAGAAGGAAAAACCGATAAACAAGATTAACGAGATTTTTCGTTCACCTGATAAGGCGACGAGGTCTTCTTCGTTCAAACCCTTGGCTTGGAACATGGTTACAAGATTCTGGATAGTTGAGTTCGGTGGAGGAATGTTTGTATTTGCTCCGTTTAGGCTTGCGGTCCTCGAGTCTCTCCTACCGAGAGGAAGCTCCCATGTCGGTCCACCGCTCTGATCAGCAACATTTTCATGAAATTGGGATAAGCTCATCTATTTCAGACCAAAAAAAAAAGAGAGCTTCTCCTTTGGAAGATCAATGGTGTTGTCTGATATTACCAGAATGGTAGACCCACGAGCAGAAAGGGCGACTATGTCGGCACAGGACACAGTTTGAGGGCAGACTTCCTCCAGTTTTGCCTTAATCTCGTCGATAACTTCGAACCCTCTTACGGAATTCTTGTTTGGTCCCGCGTTCTTCTCGCTCCTTATGGTGGCACTGTCATCCAACAAGATCGATGCATCACAGCCCTGTCACACAAAAGCATAAAGCTTTTTAAGCTTTATCCCACACAAAAGACTCAGAAAAATAGCCATGGAATTTTAAAGAACCTGCACAAAGCAGTCGTGGAAGTGAAGTCTGAGTAATGATGCCGCCATTCTCGAGTCCCTTGCTATGGCTTTCTCCAATACCGTCATGACAATCTCGTCGACTTGCGGGCAAGAGAACTGGTAAAACTGAGGGTACAGACCCAAAGAAAAAGTTCCCCCCGATGGGTCATTACTTCCCCACCCAAACCCGAGACCTGGATGAGCATTACAGAGAGAAAAGGACAAGAGAGCAAAGAGCATAACACCAGGAATATACTTGAAGATAGCCATTCTGTCTCAAGAGAGATGAAGAGAATTCGCAGTCAAGTGGTGAGGGCTCATGATTAACAGAGACCGGGATCTTATACCCGTAAAAGAACGGATCAAAACCAACTGCTCCTCATTACCAAATCCTCTCAATGATTCTTAATATAGATATAGATAGACATAGTCAACCTCTCTTTTTTTATTCCTTTCTCTTATCATATGAATTCTCCTAACAACTCCAAAAAGAAGCGATCCATGTGCCTTCACTCACATATTAGGTGAAGTTTCAATGAACTGCTGCAATGAGAAACACAAGTTGTGTCGAATACAGTTTTTTTTATATACTATTTACAACTAAAACATGGGTTCTTCTTTGGTGATAACATAACTATATGAATTCTGGAATTATGTATTCTCTCACAAAACAAGATGAGAGAAATGTGAAGACCTGAATACAGCATGACATATGTTTCAAGAGTGTACTTTATGCCTTAACCAAGTGTCTCATCGGCTTAAGCAGCTGAGCAAAACGAAGTGGAACGTGTGCCTTGATCAGTGTCCCATTCTCTGTGTATTCCTATATATGAAAGAAATGTAACACACGGCATGAGAATTATCAGTTCTCTATATAGAAGAAAGACCCGAGAAATATAGTCAGTCGTATACTTACAGTTTCTTCTACCATTCCGACCTTGTGTATGGTGCTTAAAAGGTCCCCTTTATCAAATGGCAAGAGAGCTTCAACCCAGACCATCGAATCCTGTAAAAGAGATTTCCTCAAAATCAGTTTACGCATTCGTCATAGTCGTAATATCGTAATAATTTAAAAGACACAAATAATTGCTTAACCACACCGAAACCTTGAGTTTCTCCTGAACATAGTTGCAGAAATCATCTAGGCCTTGTCCACTCAGTGCAGATATACAAACAACATCCCCTCTTTTCTCTGCTTCCCGCTTAATCTTTTGAGGGTCACTAACCCTATCAACCTGATTAGGGAGTTAAAGGAGTAGAATAGTTGTTCCTAAATTTATTTTTAGAACAAAAAATTGAATAAATAAACAAACCCATCTGCCTAGTGACATTTATATTACCTTGTTCCAGACAACCAGTTTGGGGATTGATGAAACATCAAGTTCCGAAAGAACCTTTTCCACAGCTTCAACCTGTTGCTCCGCCAGAGGATGGCTGTAATTATTACCAGAACATATGAACTAAGAGCTCTCATTTCGGATATTTTTTAATCAAAGTTAATCAGGGTTTAAAGATAGCAAACCTGATGTCAACCACATGCACCAAAAGGGATGACTCTGATATCTCTTCAAGTGTTGCCCTGAAAGCTGCTACCTGCAAGGTGCCATTTTTGAGCCAGAGTTTTTACGCGTCAGGAACATGAGAACTCAGTTTGAGACCTTGTACACGTGAAAGTTTCCCCTTTATACTAAGAGACAGTGGTAAGAGGCAAATTAACAAACAGAATGCCGGAACACTAAACAGATACAGGTTTTGAAGAGCTTACCAAGGTGGTTGGCAACTTTTGTATAAAACCGACAGTATCTGTGAGAAGAAACTCCTTCCCATTTTCCATCTGACCAAGGAGTCAGAGAAAAATCTGAAGTTAATCTCAATACCAAAAGACAATTAGGTGTGATTCATCATGATATCTCACACCAATAGTCTCCAGCTAATTTGGTACAAAGAACTTTTGAGATAATAATCCAAGTCAGGTAATACAATCCATGAAAAAGAAGTTACACAGCACAGGTTGAATTCTGCCACATTACTTCAATCCAAGCAACAGATTAGACGGACAAAGGATAGGAGAAAAATGATTTACCAAGGTCTACTGCTAAAGTTATGATCGTGAGGAAAAGACATGCTACCTAGTAGTCTAAGAAATGAATAAGAAAGGTGGGGCTGTTTATCGAAGATATCCGAAGAGTGTTGACTCAGCATTTTCAGCAAATTTCACTGACCTGCACCCTTCTTGTAGTTGGATCTAGCGTTGCAAATAAACGATTTTCAGCAAGGACATTAGCTCCGGTCAATTGGTTTAGAAGTGTACTCTTCCCAGCATTTGTGTAACCAACCTAAAACAAACATAGAGATCATTCAAATAAGGAACGAACTATTCGGACCATTCCTACAACATGTCTTTGTCAAACTTACCAAAGATACAACTGGAACTGGTACAGCACACCGCCGGCTTCTATACTGCTTTCTATGTTGCCGAACAGATTCTAACTCTTTCTTGAGAACTCCAATCTAGGCATATTAACGATGTTCAGGATAAATTTCCACGTTAATAGACCATAATGAAAACTGAAGGAAAAAATAAGCACGGAGAAAACAAAAGAGTAGTTTCTCGAGAAGCTAAAAGGCTGCAGAATATATATATTTTTCCTTACTTGAGTACGCAGGATGCGCTTATCAACCTCGATTTGTTTCTCTCCCATACCCTTCACCTGCCCTCCTGCTTGACGCTCAAGGTGAGTCCACATTCTGGTTAACCGAGGTAACTGGTATTCCATCTGTGCTAGTGCAACCTGGAAATCATTTCAATTTTAACCACTGTTTAATGAGTTCTGAATCTGATAAGAGAATAACTAAAATTTTAAGAGTAACTACTTATATACGTAAGTTCCATCCATCATGCCTGTAAAGCTGCCTCGTGAGTTGCTGCTCTCTGGTTGAAAATGTCGAGGATAAGGGCAGTGCGGTCACAAACTCGAATAGCCCCACCAAAAGCCTTTTCCAGATTACGCAATTGTCTGAGGTGTTAACATGAAAATGAACAAGAATGTGAATTTCGTTCACAAGTAAGACGTTTATGCAAAAAATTGTGAAAGACAGACAAGAAGCCAAAACTCCTTCAAGACTATAATAACGAATAACAACATTAGTGAAAATCAATCAGCTGAATGGCCAAGACAACAGAACTTAAATTTTCATAAAAAAGGAAAACAAAAAGCAGAAAGGAAGTAGCTAGATGCATCTAACTATAAGAGGTATGCAAGATACATGAAATGGTAAAAGGCCGAAAGAATTACGGTCTCAAAGATACGAAGAAAATGATACCCTGGTGAAAGCTCGTCATCAAAGATTACGGTCTCAACATCTAGTGCATGAACTGCACTGTTTATCTCTGAAACCTTTCCCGATCCAATGTATGTTCTTGGGTTTGGGGAAGCTAGCCTGCAAAATCCAATCCAACCAGCATTGGGTTTAGCATGTTCATCGAAAACAAGAAGATCATAGTGAATTCCAGGTTTCGAACACATCTAATCCGATCAATGATAACTAAGATATACCCACTTTTGATATGTCGAACCAACCACCATGAGCCCAGCAGTGTCGGCAAGCTGGGCAAGCTCCTCGAGTGATTCTTCTATATCGAACAAACTTTCTCCATCCCCCTTTTTTTCAACACCCACCAGATATGCCTTCTCTGCGAAAACCTAGAGGATACAAATCTATTCATGAGCTCATTTTTTCTAACAGCAACAAGACATATCCAATTTCATTTCACTGTTTTGTTTCCAGTGAATCAGAGGACAGGGACCCAATTCTTCCTTCAAAGTGATTTCACCCTGAACTTTATGACATGATCAGACCAATCTCTACTATACCCCTCAAAAGATCGAAATATAAGTACATGTCTTACTGTTCTCAAGTTTTTGAACTGTGTCCTAAGGGAAAACCTTATCCACTTATCTTACAGTACACGAATTTCGGTGGAAGACGAAGCTTAACCTATCAGAAACTAGACCAAGAACGAAAAAAAAGGAACAATAATCAACCTCCTTTCCATTTCTTAGCTTGAACCTGTCCTCGGAGCTCTCTTCATCTTCATCCTTCTTCTTCAACCTTGAAGACGAAGCAGGCTTTACCTTCTCGAATTCGACCTCATCCGCATCTAAATCGAGAAACCCATCTATTCCACCTTCCTCCACACTCTCTTTGAACTCGGTGTCTGGTCTTTCGACCACAACATCGGTGGATGATGAAACACTGAGATCGTGTTGGGCGACGCCACAAGAGAATCTGGACGAGAAGCTATTGTTTGTGATGTTGAGATGAAGAAGAGGGAAAACTGGGAAATGGAATCTAGGGTTAGGGTTAGGGTTCGTGTTGCACTGGAATTTGGGAATTGCAGAAGAACAGAGATGCAATAAGCTCATGTTCGATCAACTGGATGAACCTTGAAGGTTATTCTTGTTCTCTTCCTTTTTTTTTTTCTGTGGGGGACGTTCGTTTAACCCAACGGCCATTTCTATGCTTTTTAGATTACCTGCCGTTTTTATATTCCTCGACGAAACTGCGCGACGTTTCGAAGGCGTTGGGATGTATTACGAGTCACTTGTACCATACAAAAGTAAGGCGAAAAGGGGACAGACTGAATTGATTTTACATAAAATATTTTAGAAGTGCTACAAGATTACCCAATATTATTATTTAAAATTATCGAAATTGGATAATTCAACTGTTAAAGTATAAGATAAAGTTTCATCTCCAAAATCGAGTCTTCTCTCGAGAAGATCCATTCACATAGAGTTTTTGGTCTTTTGAGAAGTTTAGTTGCACCGAAAATCCGATAAACTTTTGAATTATAAAAAAATATTATTTAAAGTTTATGAACATCCACGATTAGGGAATATATATTTTTTTTAAACAATCAGTATGATTCTCTAATTTTTATTAGAATCAAAATCAATTGATATAGAGATCAAATTTACTGAAATTTTGTAGTAGAACATTTGAGTCATGTGATCGTATTTCCGATCTCATATTAGAAAGGCATATATGTAATTAAACTTATCAAAGATGTAGCGGAACTTGGGATTGAGAAAAGGTTAAGAGTAGCAATGGTAATAGTTTTTATTTTGAGTTTTTGATTTTTGGTTTTTGAATTTTAGATTTTGGCTTTTGGTTTTCGTAAATCCAAAAAAAATAGAGTTTTTTAGTTTTTAGTTGATTTTTTTATTAAGGTGGCTTTTTAAGTTTTTAGAAAAAATAATTATACAAAAACTTGATTATCAATTTTTTGGTTTTTAAAACATAAAAATATATAAAAAAAAAAAACTATTCCATGGCCTAAGGCCCTAAGTATTCAAAGCTTTTTGTTTAAAGATTTATTTTTTGTATTAAAAAAGTATGTCTATGAAGGATATGAGTCATCTATGACCATTTAACCTTTTGTTTTTTTGTTTTTATAATTTGTCTTCCCACATTTGATGGTTATCATCTCATCATAGCCTTAGGAATGTCTTGGCCCTATGAGATGCCACCGTATTTTTATAGGATAGATAAATCTTTTCGATTCAATTTTAAAATTTTGAATAGATTCTAATTGAGTAATATATATATATATATATATATATAAAATATGAAATTGAATCCTATATTAATATAAAAATATTTAAAAATTTATATGAAACTGACATTTTTATAAAAATAATTGTTTTTTAATAAAAACTGAACTCATGTAAAATTAGGCAAACATCATTTTTAAAAACATTAACTCTTTTTAAAATTACCAAATAAATACATTAACTCTTTTTAATTCTTATATTAAACCTTAAAATTTTTAAAAAGAATGGAAATAAATCATAATCTTGTAAATTATTCCCAAAAATCAACATAAAATAAAATATTTTTAGCTTATTAAAAGTTCAAGTTTTTACAATGTACGCAATTAATCAATTTGAGGAGTTGGTCGCCAAATTGATACAAATCATCCTCATTATATTTTTTTTTTCAGAATTTTTTATAGAGTATATCCATATTATTATGTAGAATTTTGCAATACGAAATTTTAGTATATAAATTATATAGGATATGATTATAAAAACTTTATAGTTTTTATAATAACTTCACAGGATATGATAATTTATATAACTAACATATAAATTAATCATATAATATACATCATGTATTAATCTCATTTTTTCTAGAAATTTCATGTATTTTTTGTCTATTACATAAACTAAAAAATATAATTTTATCTCTATTCAAAATTATTATTTTTATAATAACTTTAAAGTATATATTTTTAATTCATATAATCAAGAGATGTTCTAGATTCTTCAATTGTTATTAATATTGTATCACGGTAATTTTTAAATAAAAGTTAATAGTTATTCTGTTCAAAGAAAAATTATATTTGCGGTCATAATAATTTTAATTAAAAAATATATTAAAAAGTAATTAGAAAACAGCCAAAAAATTCAACCTAAATTATTTTAAATTTTTTTAAATCATTTTTATAACTATTTTATATCCATATATATATATATATCACGTATTATAAACATATAAATTTTCATATTAAAATACATCATAATATTTAAAATATTAATTTATAAAAAAATGCATATATAAATATTTTTTTTCTATTTTATATTATGTAATTGATCATATTAAACATGATTATTTTTAAACTAATTAATTTTCTATAGAAATAATCAAACTAATCTTTAAAAAAATTATCTAGCTTCACATTTTATCCTAATATAAATTAAAATATTGTAATCTTAGTACAATAATAAAGTGGATTTCTCAAATTGTAGAAAGGATTAATTTATTATTTTGAAATACTAATTTATTAGATACTCTGTATGAATTATTTTACATATTTTAATTATTTTTCTATTTTTATTGGATTAAGATTTATAAAATTGTTATATCATATTATATTGTATGATATTGTTTTAATTTATTACAAACGTATCTTATGAAAATTATTTTAGAATGGTATAAAATAAAATGTCATCTTGCCAATATTTAGTTTTTTTAGTTGATATTTAACTATGAATTGACATTTTTAAACTTTACACATCTTCGTTTAGTTATTAGATTAGCGCATTAAACGATAAATGAATAATCTGAAAGATAACTTTATTTTTAGGGGTAGGGTTCGAATCTCTAATTTCTTGGACAAAGATGATGAATTATCTATGCTAACTATTAACCATTAAGGCTCTCAATATTTAGTTTTATTTGCTCGTTTTTTATATATTTAAAAAGTTTATGGATTCAGTAGAACGAGACCTGAAACATTGCACTTTAAAAAGTCCCGACAAAGAAGCCGACGCTATTTTATCTTTTCAATCTGAATTCAAAGAGAAAGGTAATATTCCCAATATTTTCATTTTTTAAATACGATTATATATATATATATATATATATATATATATTGATTTGATTCTCTTTAAGCGGTCTAATATTTCGAACACATTTGTTTTTTTTTTAACTGATTAGGCTTTTCCGTACGGTTCTTTAAAACCAAATTCTTATCGAATTGAAAAACTCTCAAACCGTGTTTTTAAGAAAACCGAATTTTTTAAAAACCGAAACGATTTTAAAAAGATTTGAAAAATTGATTTCTTAAAAAAAATCTAAAATTTTCTTAATAAAGGTTTGAATCAAATCGAACCAATCCAAAATCGAAAACGAATCGAATCAAATATGATATAATAATCGATTAATACATATTTTATAAAATCGAAATAATCAAACCAAATCTTTGATGAATTGAATACCGAAATGCCCACCGCTCGAGTTTGTCTACCTACATATTTCACTCTCACTTTCCCTTTACTTCATCTCTCTCTCTCATAGAAAAAAAAACAGATCAAAGAAAAAAAAAACAGGACAAAAAAACATGCAAGAACTACCAGATTGCGTCTATGAAAGAGACGAACCAAACATAATAACTCCGAAATCTCCGACACCAAATCACTGTCTCTACCTCTCGAACCTCGACGACCATCATTTTCTCAGATTCTCGATCAAATACCTCTACGTCTTCCAAAAACCCATCGACTGTGAGATTCTCAGAGATTCTCTCTCTAGGGTTCTTGTCGATTACTACCCTTTAGCTGGTCGGATCAGGGCCGTTAAACCCTCCGGTGATCGGAATCAGAACAAGCTCGAGATTGACTGCAATGGGCAAGGAGCTGTTTTCGCCGAAGCTTTCATGGATATCACTTCCAACGATTTTCTTCAGCTTTCTCGGAAGCCAAACAGGTCATGGAGGAAGCTTTTGTTTAAGGCTCAAGCTTCCAGTTTCTTGGATATTCCTCCCCTTGTCATTCAGGTTCGTTCTCGTTTCTCTTCGACAGCTGAATCTCTGATTTTTATTTTTTTAATCATGAATTTGATTTTCGTTCTTGTACGTCCTTTTATAATCATTTTATTTAATTCTTTATTGTGATATTTACATAATTCTGATTTCTACGAATTGTGAATCAGTATTTAATGGTTACATTAATAATAATTTTTTTAAAATTTCCTACGAATTTTTGGTCCGCAGGTTATTACCTACTTACGTGGTGTATCTATAAATTTCAAAATATTTATATCAATTTTTTTCTACAATTTTATTTGGATTTCATCGTTGTATACGAATGCAATTACAAGTTTTTTTATCATAAAATAAATTCCGTCTGATGGTCTATCAATTTATTCTCCGGTATATTAATTCCCAGTTCATTATTTAACCAAATATTATTATATATAATTTAAATAATATTTGAAACTAATAACCATTGCAAAAGAATTGTGGAAAAAAAAACATTCCAAAAGAAAAAGGAAAATAAAATATTATGCTGGGGACGGAACGACGGCGTTTTAACTGACTCCCCGTTTTTATCTTTGACGGCAGGTGACGAAACTCCGTTGCGGGGGTATGATCCTCTGCACCGCAATCAACCATTGCCTGTGCGACGGCATCGGTACATCCCAGTTCTTTCATGCATGGGCCCACCTCATCACTGGGCCCTACCACGATCATCATCTTCCAATCCAACCATTCCACTTTCGACACGTGCTGAAACCCCGTGACCCTCCACGTGTCACCCACTCGCACCCTGGATTTACCCGAATCACCCTCGGCGACCAGAAAGCCTCCTCCAATATTATTACCCTCGACGTCACAAAATATTTACAGTCCCAGCCACTCTCTCCCGCCACCTTAACCTTCACCCCTTCCCTTATCCTCCGCCTCAAGAAAACATGCGCCCCATCGCTAAAATGCACCGCATTCGAGGCACTCGCTGCTCACACGTGGCGCTCGTGGGCACATTCCCTTGATTTACCGTTGACCATGCCAGTCAAACTGTTGTTTTCGGTCAACGTGAGAAAAAAGTTGACTCCAGAGTTACCACAAGGGTATTATGGGAATGGATTTGTACTAGCTTGTGCTGAAACCAAGGTACAGGAGCTGGTAAATATGAATATTTCCCATGCGGTAAAATTGGTCCAGGAAGCGAAATCGAAGATAACCGATGACTATATCAGATCGATGGTAGATTTGCTGGAGGATAAAACGGTAAAAACCGACGTCTCTTGCGCTTTGGTTATATCGCAATGGGCGAAATTTGGACTGGAGGATTTGGATTTGGGAGGAGGAAAGCCTTTGTATATGGGCTCGTTAACGAGTGATATTTACTGTTTGTTTTTACCGGTCGCCGGTAACTTTGACGCCGTTAGGGTTCAGGTGTCTATGCCGGAGGATGTTGTCAAGAGGTTTGAGTATCGCATGGTGGAGTGTTTTGGCAGAAAAAGCTAACGGCGAAGAGAATGGAATTATATAAATAAAAAGCCTTTTTTTTCATTGTACCTCTTCTATATACTATGAATTATGATTAATGATTTACAATAACAAAATAATGACATTAATTACAAACCTTACTATATAAGTAATTAAGTATTCTCATTAAAGTTGCCTTATTTTGACATATTTTGATGAACATATTTTGTAAATATACCGTATTATCATACAATGAACATATGTCTTTAAGTATCAAAATTAGCAAACAGGGTCCATATTTCGGATTTTGATTTTTCTATTTTTGTATAAACTATATCGATTTGATTATAATTCGGTTCTATTGGCTTTATATTTTAAAGGAAAATATTAATTTAAATTCCAAAGAATCGTTTATAAAAGACATTAAGAAATTGGGTTTTTTTCGTCTGCCTCTAATTAGTTATTGATAGAATAAAGTTAGAGAACCCTTTATATATTTAATCAATGGGAATGATATTATTCTGTGTTTGTGCCCATAATTTTGTTGGAAATTTGTATTTATTAGGATATTATTTAGGAAAGATTCTCGTGAAATATTTTTAGGTTCCAATATTAGAAATTGTTTGTCTCGCAAGGTCAACCTTCCTTTATTCCATATGTATTATATCTAGGGTCGGCGATTCGGTACGGTTATTTAGAACCGAATCAAAAAATACGATATCGTTTTTAAACCGAATGATCCGGTAATTTCTTTTTGCAAAACCGAATTTTTCAAAATCAAACCGTATAGAACTGAAAAATACCGCATCGTTCCCGAACCAAATCATCAAAATTTCTCGAATGATGTTTTTTTTTTTGAAAAACTGAATTTTTCGAAATCAGAACTGATTTTAAAAAAATTCGAAAACCGAAAAATTTATTAAGAAAATCTAATTTCTTTTAATAAAAACCAAACTGAAACTGAAATCCAACCGAACTGAATATGAAATAATAACTGGTTGATATATATTTTTATAAAACCAAAAGAACCGAACCGAACAATTATTGAAACGAATCCAAACCGAATACCGAAACACCCGCCTATAATTATATTAGTCGTGTGGTAAATATCTATATACATGTACATAGAATTCGTATACGTAATGTATATGAGCATATATGTTGTATATAAAATCATACGTGAGTGTTGTATGTGTGTGTATATATATATATGCGTATTGGAAATTGTGTGTGCGCATGATTTATTAGATCATGATGCGTTATGAATAGATCAATAAGTAGTCTAATGAATAAATCTATTTAGTAAATGATAAAACTTCCTTATATTTAATAAGATCCTATCATATTTTTATATTTAAAAAAAAAGTATAAAAGTTAACAAAAAAAAATTATAAACATTAAATTAAGGGGCTTAGACAAAAATTGGTTCGTTAGGATTGGAATTAAATAAAGTTGGTGCGTAGTGCGCACCATTGTGTGTGAGTGCTGAATTTCAAGTCTCTCTTATCCGATTACATCAAGATACTTAATCATTTACACATCCTTTATGTATAAAACTTGAAAAAGTACTTTGTTATATTTGTGTATATATATTACATATATCTTTATTAAATTAAATAAATAGTATAATTAGACGGTACGCGATACACGATTTTTTTTACTATATAAAATTGCATTTAGTTTTTAAACGTATTAGTAACATTTGATTGAATTTAGGATACCGAAACTACGGAAAAAAGAAACAAAAATATATAAATGAAATAAATTATAGTTAATTCAGTTTTGTTTTGATTTAATATTTTCAATCCAAATTAATTATATTTGAATATAAATTAAATCAATTTTGAAAAAATTTCATTATAACTATTCACTTGTTTTACAATTTTTTTTATTTCAGAAATCGAATTTAATTTAATTTAAAACACTTGTTTTACAAAACATTCAAAACCATGAAACTCAAATAAAATCTAAAAAAAACAATTCGAGATTGATTTGTGAATTGTAAAAACTATGAAAACTCATGTAGCTAATATAAACCTGTGGTTACATTTCACTTTTAATTTTGTTGGTATAATTGTTTTAAATTTATGTCATTGACAAAAGAATTTAGTAAAATAACAGATTCAATATTTTAAAAGTTTTCAATATATATTTAAAAAGAAAAAAATATCATATAAACATCTCAACTTTTCAAAATATATTAAATAAGTATATTAATTTTTAATTTGATAATATAATATTTCAAATATTAAAATATATCAAATTAATACGTCTAAATCGATTTGGATCTTGGTTGAAAATTGACTTCAATTTTAAGAGTTGAAGTACTAATTTGACACAATTTCAAAAGTTGATATATTAATTTGGTATATTTTAATATGTATTATTTTGTTAAATTAAAAGTTAAGATATTTATTTGATATACTTTAGAAAATTGAGTTTAGGGATGAGCGTTTTAACCCGTAACCCGTAGGTTTGGAGTACCCGACTTAACAAGTATCCGAATAAAGAGTATCTGAATATTAACGATGATGAGATCGAGTATTAATAAGGCCAAGTTTTCGTCCTCCGAGTCCGAGTGAGGGTTCAATTATTTTACAAAGAGTATCCAGGGATACCCGGTATATTTGTTAAAAAATATAAAATATATTTTATATTTATAATATTTTTGTCTAAATTATTCTTATTATTTATTAAAATACTTTTATTTTAGTTCATTTTTTTTATCTTCGAAAACTTTCTTTACAAAAATTCTACCATTCCAAATCTCATTCTATGCAACCGAATCAACCATTCATCATCTCTCAAAATTTTACTCATCTCTCTTCATCGTGAACTTTTCTCTTTATACTTTGATCTCTCTCATTTGTACTTTCTATATCTATCATTTCATAGTTCAAAATTTCGTATGGGTTCGGGTATCTGCGAGTACAAGTTCGAGAATCTCATTAGATCCGAATTACAAGCACCCGTATTTTATAAAGTAAAGATTGAGATAATATTTTTGTAAAATTTATGGTGATGAAGACGAGACAAGGTCTTCTAAAAATTTTGCGGTACCCACCCTAATCGAGTTGTTTATGTGTAATTTTTGTAAATTATAAAATGTAATACTTTACAATAAGATAAATAATTCAAAACTCATAATGCCGTTTAACGATCTGGCACAGTGGTTGCGCTCGCTTTGAGCAGCGCAGCTCACGCGAGATCGAACATAACCGCACACATGTCTGAGAAACTCCGTACATGTCCGTCATGAGATATGAGGTATTATAAAATACCTTTTTTTTTTAATTTATAAAATACCTTTTCTTTTTATTTTTGTTACAAAAAATAATAATTAAAAAATACGTCGCAATGACATATTCTGCACTATGATTTATGACTTTAATTATTACCAAAAGAGTTAGAAGTGGAAATCAGATCAATTTGCAAAACTTAGTGGTAGGGTGGGATCTTTTATGTACCCTACAAGCACGTGTGCGGAATCACTTTTTACCAAATTAAATTAAGTGAAATTACACTTTAAAAAAATAATTAAAATTAATAATCGTTTAGAAATTTGATCACTTGAACTGAGTTCGAAAATTTCAAATTAATTTTTTTTTATCAAAATAAAGTCAATTACACTTATTTTTCTAATTCTAAAAATTCAAATTATTATATATTGCATGTTTAAAATTTTAATACTTTTTGTTATGTTATCTCTGGGGTTTAGTTCATATTAATCTATATCGTCTAATATCGTTTATTTCATGATAGGTAGGAAATATTGAATAAAAAAGAGCTAAAGAAAAAAAAATCAAAATTTGTATAAATGGCGTTTAAATTTTTATTGTTTGATCATTTGATATTGGTCCGATTAACCATTTGGAAGTAATATTTCTTGAAGATTTACAATTTTTTTACCCTTATATCTATTTTTTTGACATTTTTATGTGGATAATTTTGATTTTAGAAAAATTATATATATATATATACATACATACATGAGAGATAGGATGTATGCAATAATGAATAGCAAGTATAACGTTCTTCAAGGAGCAACTAAACGAATCATTCAGTCTCTATGCGATGTTAGAGAATCCATAAAGATACAAAATGGATGGACCATGAACGAATGATTACCACATGACGTGGAATTTCCACATTCTCGTTATAATTAAAAAAATCATGGAATTTCCACATTCTCGTTATAATCAAACAACATATTTCTTTTTAGGGACAATAGTATGAAAAACGTCAACTTTTGAAAAATTTTTTTATCATAATGAACTTTAAAACTTTTACAAAATATATAAACTTTATAAATATTATCTTAAGTCTATATAAAATTTGTGAATATTCGTTTATGATAATATTTGTAAAGTTCATGTGTTTTGATAAAAATTTCAAAATTTGTGTATTTATATAGCAATTTTAAAAGTTCATATTTTTTTTAATCTATTGTCTCTTATTTTTTATTGTCAAATGATTACCATTAGATTTTATTATTGCCCACAATATAACATACTTAATTATCTAACTGCCCTCTCAATTGTTAATATATATACACATATACATATATTTCCATATTTATTTTTTATTTATTTTTTGTTTGTAATTTTTATCTATATAGATTTTTTTTACTCAAATTCTATTGGATTCCATTTCAATTTAAAACTATTCAATTTTGTTTAAATTTTGTTTTTATCAAACAATTATTTTTATAGTTAATTAGGATTAATTTAGATTAAAAATTGATATATAAATTAAGAGAGATCATGAAAGCAGTTAATGAAAAAGTTGAATATATTTTAGTTCCATACTTTGATTATTGTCAAAACGAATCCCACTATCGTTTGTCTCCAAAGCAATAAATTGAGTTTTTCATTTTTCAAATAACATAAATATTCTATTATTTGACCTTTTTAATAAAAATGCGAGTGATTTATATTTTATAGTACATCACTTTCTCAACAATTTCTTTGCAAATCTTTTTAATAAAAAAAATAAGAGAGCATGATTCAAAGGTGCAGACCAATAATAAATATTTTATATACGATGATACTATTCGAATGAAATGGGTTTTTAGAGTTTTTGTAACACAAAAACCAAAAAGAATAACCAATCAAGCTTTTATAAATTTAGTTTTCCTAAAAATTCAAAAAGCTAATTTAGTGAAAAAAATAAATTAAAAATCAAAAACTCAATTTTTTGAATTTATAAATATTACAAAAGCCAAAACCAAAAATTTAAAATCAAAAATCAAAAACTCAAAATAAAAACTATTGCCAAAGTCTGAGTAAGATTCCTCACGTTTTTAATTGGTTATAACTGAAAAAAAATATCGTAAATAATCGTATTGAATTCATTAATTAATTATTCGAGAAAATATAAATATAATATATATAGATACAATATATAGTTTTAAATTTAAAGCTCAGGCCCATAACAACTGAATTTGCTTTTATACGAATTCGGGCCTTATTATATTTATTTAAAAATGGCCCATTAGTTTTTATTTTCACATTATTGGCCCATTAGTTGGTAGATTCTTAGATATTAAGCCCATCACCGATTTAATATCTTCGGCCGAGGGTTTAAAAAGTTGGCGGAGGTTAGGAAGCAAGCAGAGAGGAAACTTCAAATTCCCAAAGGATTTTTCTCGGCAACCAAACAGGGTCAGTTGGAAATCTTCCCTTTTTCTCTCTTTCTCGTATAATTCGATTAAGCTCTTGTTCGTCGGTATCTGAATTGTTAGGATTAGATCCTTGTCTGATTAAGCGGTAACTTTTATCTCGTTTTTTTTTATGATTTGCTTCGATCCGGTTTCTTAATTTCATCGTGTTTTTCTTCAGCTTAATTCTTGAGCTACGGATTTTGCATGCGGTATCGGAAAATATACTGGAATATGATTCTGAAAATCTTTTATTCGTGATGGTGATTTAGAGTTTCGAAATTTTGCTGAAGATTGCTGCGATGAGAAAATTCTAAAAAACCCTAGTAATGAAATCCAGATTCTTCTCCTAGGGATGTTCTGAAGCTGTTCTAGTAACCATGAGAAAGCATGGAATGCAGATTGGCATTCGTTTACAAATGGCGTTTGTCAATATGTAGCCTTTCTTTGTTGTAGAAGGAACATCAATTTGCTTGTCCGGGGGATAAATGCCAATGAGACAGATGCATATATTTCTTCATCCTTATTAATGGTTGATGGCGTTTTCTATTTGCAGATATATTGACAGAATTTACATCCAGATCCCCAAGTTAGTTGGAAAATTAAATATTCTGTCCTCTGGTCTCCGCTTGAGATATAAAAGATTACTATGGAAGAGCAGCATCCGAGGAAGCGTTCTCGACAGCATTTCGAAACGCATCCGACGCCCACAACTGTTCTGGAAGCCCCTTTCCATGGAAGATCTAAGTGGTATTTCAGCAAAGAAGAGATTGAGCATTTCTCTCCATCTAGGAAGGATGGAATTGCCCTTGAGAAAGAATCATATTTGCGGGCATCGTATTGCAGCTTTCTTCAAAGACTTGGGATGCAGCTCTGTGTGTAAGCTCGAAATATCATTTTTATATGGGAACTGCTGGTTTATAATCGTAGGGTTGTTGTTCTTTGCATGTGTGCTGCACAAGATATCTTTATACTTCTGTTTTTCCTGATCTTTACGTTTTCTAGTGAAAGACGGGTGCTTAATGCACGAAGCATGGCTAGCCTAATGAATTTTGTTGGAGGGCCACTTTTTGGGGAGGTGGCCCAGAGGTCTCGAACTAAAATTCTGATCCATTTGTTTTATACATTTTTTCTCATGAGCAGATTATTTTGTATTATAGTCAAAATGCGGTGTCTTTACATCATTAGTGGCTCACATCTCCTCGGCAGTGGGAAGCTTGCATCTGTTGTGAATTTGCTTGGAGCTGTTCACTTGTTTATGCGTTACTATCTGATATATTTCTATACTTGTAACTCTCTGCTGGGTTATCAAAACCCTCAGCGTCCTACCATTACCAACTGAGGTTCTTAGTTTTCTGAGCAAGTGCACATCTCTCTCCGGCCACTATTTTTGAATCATCTATCATAGGTACTGGTGTTTTGTCCTTTGCAGTAATCATGTGTCTCGTCTCGTAGAATAGTTACATGTTGTAAATGCTGATTTGGTAAAGGTTAGCTCCAGCTTTTTAGTTGCATAAAATAATATAATAACGAAATGATTTGTGATATTGTTTCACCATCAGTTTTTCCTGTTGATTGCTACTGAGACTTCCACTCTTTCAGGTCTCAGGGTATTATATCATGCGCAATGGTGTTGTGCCACCGGTTTTACATGTGTCAGTCTCATGCAAAAAATGATTGGCAGGTGAGAATACTGAATTTATATCTGATTCATTAAGTGCATTTATCAAATGAAGATTAAGAGTGATATTTTTCCTGTTGTGGTCCCTTGGTCTTCCTGTTTTTCGTTTTTTTTGTTCCTGTCCTTTAGCCTTACCGGAAAAAAGTTGGATGACCTGGCAAGAGAGGATTCATGAAACTTTCTATTATGAGTAATGAGCTTAAAGAGCAATGTTTCTATTACTTAGAGTATGAATAGAGGTATTAAGGCTTTTGTTGAAAATTATCTAGAAAGGATTGCTATGAAGCTGTCAAGAGGCTAGCGGTTGTACAGAAGTTTATATTGTTTGTTCTTTTCCTTAAAACAGTGATTGATGCTAAACTCGTTTCCTGATTTGCACTGCTCTTGGTGATTAAAATATTTGGCAGATGGTTGCAACTGCAAGTCTCTTCCTGGCTTGCAAGGCCAAAGATGAGCCATGCCAACTTTCTGGTTTTGTTGTTGCAGCTTATGAGATAATTTTCGAATGGGATCCTTCTGCCTCAATGAGAATCCATCAAACAGTGAGCAGCTTAACTATAAATCTGTGTGTTTTTTTCGTTGTCGCCTATTGTGCACATTTTTATTCCTGATTTTCTGCCTACAGGAAAATTACTATGAGTTTAAAGAACTGATCTTGGCTGCGGAGAGGCTTCTGCTGGACACAATTGCTTTCGATCTCGACATTGAATTGCCATATGAGCCTCTGGATGCAGCTTTGAACAGGTTGAATGTTTGGCCTGACGTCGCTACTGCTGCATGGAATTTCGTGAATGATTGGTAAAGACCTTTGCTCATCATGATATCAGTTCTCTTCTCCCGCATCAATTCTCAGAACTAGAACGTTATAGTTTGGGGGGTCCTTAAAAAAATTAATGTTATATCCTTTCTTTCTTTGCGTGTAGGGTTCGTACAACTCTATTGTTGCAGTACAAACCCCATGTCATTGCAACTGCCTCTGTGCACCTTGCTGCCATGTTTCAAAGCTCCAGAATAGGCAACAGGAGAGATTGGTGGTCGGAGTTTGGCGTGACAACTAAGCAATTAAGAGGTTTGTCGCTCGCACATCTGTATTTTTTCAATTGCCAATCTTTTCTACCAAGCACGAAGAAATCTTAAACCTTGAGCCCGGAAGATTCTGAACGAGTTACTTCTGATCCGATAATGATGGTCAGTGTCAGCAAATGACATGTTAGGTTTTACGGACTTGCTTTTGGGATTCGGGTTTGATCATTTTACTTTAACACATCCTGCCACGTAATTCTAGCGGTTATTTAAATCGTGGGTTATCGCATATTTCATTTATATTCATATTTCTGCTGGCCTTTAGAAAATTAGATGTAAGTTGAATTTTTTCACTCATGGACTGACTGTTTAACCATAGCAACTTTTGTGTTTTTAAAATCTTGCTGCCGTGAATGGTTGCAGAGGTCATCCACGAGATGTGCATACTACTGGAATTGGAGAGACGACGTGCTTTCCCGCCTCCAAGCAGAGAGTTCGCTTGGCCTTTACCCCCGGCTGGAAAGCCAATGCACACGGCTACAACTTACCCATTTCATCATGGCCACCATCTCCCGTCTCATCGACAGCCTCGCATCTGGTGAGCCATCAAAGAAGAGCGTTTCTACTCAAGAACGAGTCATACCGTATGTTTTCTAAAGAATGGCGAAATATTCCCGTGCCTGCAAAGAACGATCAATCAAAGAGACAGCAACCCGAGCCGAGACCTCTCTCCTAGGGTCTGTAGTATAACGATCAACAGGTAACTCAAGACATGTAAAAGACTAAAAGAGTAGATTTGGTTTGATACGAAGAAGAGATGGCAAACCCTCGTGATATAGAGAGGGTGGAAAGAGAAATCAGATCGAGCTCGGGGAACCTGAGGTATGGCATCGGTTCTTGCATCATCTTTGTGCTTTTAGGGTTTCCCTCGTGTTTTTCGCTATACCTCAGGAATTAATATCGCAGATTTCCGTCGAGTTACTATCACACATGTTTCCGATATATATATATATATATATATATTATATACGTAGCATAATGATTGTATATGTATTAGTACGTGCTTTTTCAATCTTACTACTGTCTCTCTTGTTTGTTATTTTACGTTCTTTTGTCACAAAAACATGTGTTGTTAAATTTTATTATATATTAGATACGATGCGAATCTTTCGTTTTCGATGTCTCGCAATTCAAAGTGATGTGCGCTATCAATTCTAAGAGTTTCAATTAGAGGTGATCACGGGTCGGGTATCTGAGTTTTTTCGGTGTACCTGAATATTTGTTTCGCCCTCTCGGTTTTTTTTCTCGGCCGGGTTTACCCGATCTGGCTTTGACCTCGGGTATCTCTGTGGTAATCGGGGTGCGAGGGTGATGAAGTACCTATCCGAGGTTCGAGGAGTGAGCAATAACTGACAAGGGCCCGAACAAATCTTGCCTAAAGCCCTAAACTCTTAAAGTCTCTAAACCCTAATCTTAAAAAAAATAACCGAAGCTTCATTCATCGTCCTCTCGTAATCTCGCCCTCACCCCGGGTCTCGTGGCCGTAACCTTACGCCCTCTCCCCTCTGGCTCAGATATTGCATGAGACATGTAATATTTGATCAACACTACACTCGAACCCAAATGCCGGGTTTTGAGACCTCTCGTTCAAATCACTACAAGAGAGTGTCAATCGGGCCGGTCCGAAGCTGCACTCGGTCCGAGGGTTTTGGGCTCGGGCTTGGGTGGATTAAAAAAGGAGTACGAATACACAAAAAAAATGTAGAAAATATGCGCTCAACAACAATCAACTCGAGAATATGATGTTATATGTATTGAGGATGCTCTTTCCTTTACAGCTAAAACATGCTTTGAATATACTTAGCTCGTGGTTTCATTCCATGAGACTTGTACATTACCAAAATCATTCATATTTATATTTTCTATAGTTTTAAAAAACATTTTCCCTCAATTATACTTTTATGTATTTGTGAATCGATCTACTTCTATGAATATCTATACATACGTACGTACGTACATACATACATACATACATACATACATACATACATACATACATATTAGAGGTGGGCACGGGTCGGATACCCGGAAAAATTGAGAGATTTGGATTTGGATCCGGGAGGCTCGGGTATTTAGTTATAAGATTTGTATCCGGGATTTGGTATTTACGAGTATCCGGGGTACGGATATCCGAAATAATGGTCGGTTATTCACGGATATCCGGATCCGGATTTATTTAAGAAAAATAACAATATTCATATATACAATTTTCAAAAAATGAAGATATATTTAAAAAATTGATGAATTATGATAAAATATATGAGAGAAATGAGATAATAAAAGATAAATAATAATAAATTTAATTTTTTTGAATTAATATTAAAATATATGAAATTATTTAATCTAAAATAATTATATTTTATAAAAATATTATATAAATATAAGATATAATTATTTATAATCATAATTATCGGGTACTCGCGGGTATTCGATTTTAAAAATTATATTATCCGGATTTGGATTCAGATTCACGGGTATTGAAAAAGTGAGATTTGGATTCGGATTTGAAAATTACGAGTACCCTAAAATCGGGTATCCGTGAGACGAGTATCCGACGGATACCCGATTTTCGGGTATTTGTGCCCAGCCCTAATACATATATACATACATACATACATATATACATACATACATACATGCATGCATACATACATACATACATACATATACATATATGCATGCATTCACAGTATTGGAATTCTGGTCAGTTTGGTGGGCCTATATTATAAAGTATGTATTTTTATTTTCATTTTTTATATTTTTTCGTATAATATAAAGTATGTATTTTTATTTTCATTTTTTTTTTATTTTTTTCGTATAATATGAAAATGAGCAAAACTTTATGCTAGATACATACGTTTACGAAACCCAAAATATTGAAAAAAAGGAGGGGGGAGGAGAGAGTTAATAATTGATGAGAATATAAAGTACCACCCATAAAATAACACCTCAAAACTACACATGCGTGTGTCCTTGTTGTTGTGCATATGTTTATGTATGCCCATAATATAATATTTTAGAGCATCATGAACGAACTAAATGCACTCACGCATATACATACATACATACATATACATACATACATACATATATATATATATGGGGAGGATGGGCCAAGGGTGTTGGGAGTGTGATACCCTAAAATTGAGAAAGCATATATTCTCCTGCTCCAATGGCTTGTCCTATTCTCAGACAACTTTAACATCTCTTTTTCCTATCTTTTTTTTTTAAAAAAATATTGTTTTCCCCCTTTGCTTTTAAGACCCTCCTTTTAAGGGCTTTGCTCTTCTTGCTTTTTATATTTGACCAATTTTTTTAAAAAATTTTGTTTTGGTTAGATATAATGAGGGGTGGATGTTTCGGTATCCGGTTCGAGTTTGGAACGTAAATGGTTCGGTTTGATTCTTTCGTTTTTATAAAAATAGATACCAATCGATTATTATATTATATTCGATTTGGTTTTGGTCTCGGTTCAATTCGGTTATGATTTTTATTAAAAAAAATTTGGTTTTTTAGATTTTTTTAAAAATTCAGTTCGGTTCGGAAATATTCGGATATTCTAAAATTAATATCGTTCAGGAATTTTAGACGGTTCGGATCGGAAAAATACTGTATTTTTCGGTTCGATAAGGTTCGGTTCCTCAAAACCAAAGCGAAACGTTCACCCCTAGATATAACCCTCCATTCTTAAAAGTAGAAGAATAACATTGAAATCAATTTGAAATACTAATGATAATTAGAAAAAGGAATGCTAATTCATTACATCACTGCACATGTTATAATTTTATATAACTTATAATTGTTGCAGAATTGATTTAAGCTTAATACAAACTATAGTGTATGACCCGAAAAGTTAGATTTTGTGGAATATTATCAAAATTTAGTACCTTTAAAACTGTTAGATCTAGGATTCAATTTTGTGACTAGATATCATTTCCTTGGATCAACTACTATCATTTCATGAAAAATAACTATATGATAAAATATAATTAAGCATAGAAGCATCATTGGCTCATCCATTTCATATCCAAGCTCATAAAATTTGATAAAAAAAAATATAATTCATATAATCAAATTTACGATAGGGAAAACTCCATAAATATAACACAATGTATCTAAATGTACCATATAAGTTCCTTAATTTCTAATTTGCTAAATTAATATCTCAATTTGATCAATTTGTATCAAATATAAGTACCAAATTTTAAATTGCTAAATAAATATCCCAAACTGATCAGTCCGTACCAAATAGATATCGATATAATTAATCGATAATTGTATCGATTTATGACAAATAAAACCAAATTGGTATCGATTTGAAACGAAATGATTAAATTGTGGTATTTATTTTTCAATTTTAAAAATGAGATATTTATGTGGTACATTTACAAAAATTATGATATTTTTTATTTATGATAATATAAATATTATTAAAATATTTTCAATTTAAGTTCGTAAGAGATTTTAACCTTTTTTTTTTATAATAAGATATTAGAGATTTGAATATTTTTTTCGTGATAAAAAGCTTGTTATCTAACAAGTTCCAATCCAATATAATTTTCCGAATGTATGGAAAAAAACGTGGTTAATAAATAATGAAAAAGAGCAAAAGCTGATGATTTTTGTGATGTGTGCATGGTGTAAGAAGAGCCTTTGACCCTCCATGACTTTTGAAAACGGTGACGTATTGGTTTTCCACTTGATGATGATGATGATGGCCATGATGGAAACCCTAACTATTCACCGATGTATAACCATTCAACTCCCCCACACATTAATCATTTTAAAAAAAATATCAATATTTTATTTTTAAAAGATATATAATTTCGTAATGTAAATATAATTATTTTTAATTATATATATATATATATATATATTCCCCGGACCATGTATCAGAATATAGGATGGACAAACGTGTGCCACATACATGCATACACATATATATATATTTTTTTGTATAAAACATACTTTTTTTTATTAACTTTTGTACGTTGTTTAAACGTACTTTGTATAAAAAAAAATTGTAAGCCATATATACATTTTGGAAAAGGTGACCCTAAATATAAAAACAAAAATTTGGACCCGGAACAAGATAAAAAAAATATAATTTATATACACATATAAGTTATAACCCCACGGAGTATAGATATAATTAATTGGAATATACACATACACGCACTACATGAATATTCGTCCATATATATTTCTATATCCTACTGGGATATGAAATAATAAGCCCAATTAATTAAACAGTTCATGGAAGTATTTATTTTTAGGTAATACAAATTTGAGTTACATTAAATAGCAATAGTCCAATAGTTTTGAAATCATAAGCACAATTAGTATTGCGATCTGTGGTGCATGAAAAGCAAAATCTAGGATTTGCATTAATGAAAAATCTATTAATGGTTTTATTTTAATTGATGATGCTATTGGTAAATATTCAGCGAAAATTGTTTTTTTTTAAATTCCCATTATTTAAGGGTAATAAATATGTTTTTGTAGTTTGAAAGAGATTCTGAATTATATCCCTTCCTGTTTCTGTATAAATATAATTTCCGAATTCCAATAGAGTAATAGTTTTTTTTTAAATACAATCAGTGAATGTATTTTTTTTCTTTATAAAAATTATCTGATTCATTATGGAAGAACAAAATACGAATGTATGGTAAAATGTATTAAAATCTTAACTTAACATTTAGAAAAGATTTAAAGTCATAGTTATTTGAAAATAAAGATAATGCATTTTTTTAAAAAAATATATGAAGTTAGAGTATTTTAATACACTTACGGAAACTAACATTTATTAAATTAATTGTTGAATTTAAGAAAAATAATGTTACAAAAACTATTTCTAATTTTCTATCAAGATTTGATTTTTTTATATTTTTAGTATTTATTGTGTAAAATTTATAATTAATACGTTGCTTTCACACTAAAATTGCAGTTTCAGTAATTTATAAATTTGATAATATTTTCGATAAATTTATTAAAAAACATTAATACAGATTTTTCTTCTATAATTCATCCATAATTTCAATTTTGTACTAATTAATTTCGTTAACAACTATAATGGTAAAACTGTATACCGCTCTAG